TTAGGAAAAAAAAAAGTGCTCCACCCATATATGTGCATGCATGGACACAAACGCGCAATCACATGCTCACATACCGCCAGCTAGCTAGCTACCTACATTACCTACTTATACCTGCTTACCTACTTACACATGTACTTGGACGCATACGCATCCACGTACGCAGATATGCGCATGTATCCATGCATGCATGCATCATGCATACGTACGTAAATTTTTGCCTATACCTATATACATACCTGCAAGCATGCACACGCAATCTTACATGCAGCGACCACCGTGGGTTCGTTATCGTTCGTTCATGCATACGTGACACCGGCTAGAATGCTACAAAAATCCGCATGTTGCCTGGCCGAGGACAGCAGTGAGCTCGATCCCGTTCTTCTGCAGCCAGACGACCCCCTGTAGTGCGTCAATGACGCCCCCCTGAGCGATTCAAGCCGGAGACAGAGCATGCTCCAGTGTTTTTTAAAGGTCAGACGCGGATGAATTCACGTTCCAACTATCTTCTAGCAAGACCATGCAAGCAAGACCTGCCAGTCTAGAAGAACTAGACACACATGGTGGCTGGACACTTTGCTAGAGCGTGAATCAATGCCAGTGCAGTTATTACGGGGGGAGTCTTGATCTTCAAGTGCCGTGCGCCAGTGAAGCCACCGAAGGACCAGCACGGAAACTGCAACTGAGCAGAGGAGCATTTCGGCTAGTGCAAGTGAGTGCATTACTTGGGTTTAGTCTGCTACTGTTTGCTATGGCTTGGTGTTCTGAAAGGCAGTCCGGGAGTCACCGTCAGTGGCCGCAGAAGGGGGGCAAACGATCCAGCAGAAGTCAGCGGCGCCCGTACATGGTTTGTGCCACGTGACTTGGATCTACGACAATCGGATCGGCTCCCACCCCATCTGCAACTGCGGACCATGGATTCCCATACGACCCTCGAGACAATGGCTTAGCAGCACCGTCCCAGACGAGAGCCTGGGCCGCTCATGCTCACCCTTCGGGAAAGTGCAGGTGGAAGACCAGTATGTTTTACGGGCTTGTGAATCTATACACGCGCATGCAAGATTTGGCTCTAGCCGTTGCGAGAGCTGGAGGTCTTCCGCCTAGGTAGACTTCCTGCGCCTGCGCCTTAGTTTTGCCATGTTGCCTTCTGGCCCGGCTAGAACTGCTGCCTTGCAAACAGTCACTTCGCTTGACCCACAGCCTAGCCGGCACGATGCCCTCACCTATGCATATTGTTCGCATTTTGCCATATTAGTGGCATTTGCCTGCCTTGATGGAAGGCCTTTCTTTGTTTGGCTGGTTAGGCCCGCTTCTTGATTTGCATTTCTGTTACCATCTGCGAAGTTGCACTATTGGCCATCGCCTTACGTTGTTTCTTGGCGGCGCTTATTGGCTTCGCGTGGCCTTGCTGAACTCTGACTCATGACCACATTGCCTTCCACCTCGCCCTCCACCTCGCCCTAACCGACTAGCCTACACCACCCAGGTCCAGCCTCATATACGCCAGGCCCTCAGATCGCGTGCCACGAGTGCCTTCCCTCTTGCAGCCATTCTCTCTGAATAAGGTTAAGTGCTTCCAAGGTGCTGCTCCCAGTTACAACATGTATTCGTCGCCGCTTCTCCCACATTCTGCCTCGCCGATTTTGGGGGAGCTTATCAGGTGCTTCATCCCTCGCTGGATTCGCCCAGCCGACGTTGCCTTCGCCCCAGTTCAAGTGTTTGGCCCATGACTTGGCCTGGCATCAATCCTTTTCTCGGGAGTGCTTTTCTCTGCAGGTCAGCCTGTGGAAGCTTGCCTAGAGGAGATGATTGATGCCTGGACACCGGCCCCACATCTTTGCCTCCCTTTGCCCAGCCGCTTGGCTTCCAACTCGGAATGTCATCAGCATGTCTTTGAGCTTTTGGACGATGGTGAACCCAGGTCCTCTCAAGCCGCCGCTCTCGCCTCAGATGCCGCCTCCTTTTCTTGAGCCAGAGCCTCCGGCTAGCCCAGCACGTGGCACCTCTGCTGCCTTGACGTGGCTCGCCTTGCCAGTTGGCCTAGACTTTAACTTCTGCCCGTCGAGCCCACCAGCTCTCAGCCAAGTAGCCTGATTCTGCTATACAAGGCCTACGATACAGACACCCGCAGCCTGGGGTTGCCGTCGAGATACGCCCACGTTTCTTGCACAGGGCTGGCATGTCTCGCATCATTTGCCAACTGTCGGGAATGTCGCCTCCCCCTATGGGGCTGGAGCCTAGAAGGCCTACTTTTTGGTGCACAGCCTTGCTGCCGAGTGCTTTTGTGATCTTTTGTGCTTACAGCCTCAGCAGTGGCTTTTGGTCGTCATGTCAAACAAAGCCTGCCATGATTCTGCTGCCGAGCAGCTGCGAGCCACAGCTCTTCAGCTGCCCTGACAAGCCTCACATGGACCTGACGCCCTCGGCTTCAGCGTTGCCCACGCATATCCAGTGTTGGCTGCTATGCGCAATCAGCCTACCGAGGTCTCATGATGACCGGTCGCTGCAGCCTCAGCTTGCCTAGGCCCTCTTGCACAGCCGTTCATCTTTCAATACCAAGGCCATCAACTCGCACATGTTCTTCGTCCTGGTCTACGTCAAAAAACACAACATGCTCATGCGGTGCAACTACATGAAGCACTTGAATGCTTTCAGCGCGAACGCCAAGATCGCTAGGGCTGCTCGCATACTGCGAAAGCCAACTACCCACAAGTGCGTCTGTCGTCGCCCTGCCTCATCGGCGTCTTCCTCCCTCATGAAGAAGAATCCCAGGTCCGTCAAGAAGTTCCATCTGAAGTCCAAGTCCAAAACCATGAAGAAGTAGGCTAGTGCTGACTAGAGTTCTTGATGCATTTGTCATGCGGTCACAGAATCCAAGCTGTCCGTATATGGATGTTACGTCGATTTCCGCACGGAGACACATCGATTCATGTGATGCAGAACATGTCATTGTGCCTGAATGTATGCATATATTTAAGAAGCCCCAACACTAGCATATATTTCTAAAGTAAAACCGGTACGACATGTGTGGAGTTCGACATGGAAGAACACACTTCGCGACGACGTCTGTCGCCTTGACCTACCGGCGAAGGAAAAGTCTTGCGAAGCCTATTTGCTGCGTCGTATCCATTGTATGCTGTTTGATATGAGAAGCATCCTGCACGACCTCAGCATCGTCACAAGTCGGGCAGTCAGATGTTATTTCTGATGGTGATGTTATCTAGTAACATAGTACATAGTTCCGACAAAATCGTGAGAAAACATGTGATTGCAATCGAAAAACACGGGCCCGCATTCCGTGGCACTCTCTACATAGATAAGTACATATATACATGCCGACATACAATCACACACGCAGACATACAGACATAGGGTGACATACGTGTGTGCATATGTGCGCACATACACACGTACATCCATCCATGCATCCACCCATCCCGGCAAGCATGTATTTTCTTTCATTCAAATTTGCATACTGTTTGGATCCCTGAATACTTACATATCTTGGGAGACTGATTTGAGTGACCCTCAACGGCTTGCAGATGTCATCTGGACTCTCTACGGTCGGGGCGTGTTGCTGTGTAGGGAGCAAAAACACGCTGACGGTTCAAAAGCACCCAAAACTGCCTTTTGGCAACTTTCTGGCTCGTGGTTGCTACACTGTGAAAAATCAAATCGTCTGCAGGTCCACAAACACAGTAAGTTACCCATCTTCTTAGGAGTCCACGGAATGCATTTATGCATGCACTACGACTGTTGCAGCTCGTGTAGGGAATGGGTGTGTCGAAAGTCTCGACTCATCTTGCGTGGAAGATGCAACGAGGCGTTGCAACCAGTGAGAGTGGTTCTGGCGATGCGTTGGACTTGCCTGTGCTCTTGGCGTCATACAAGGACTTGTGGACCTTTCGGCTACCACGTACATAGGTCCAAGCGGTGTTTTACACGTCACTCAACTGTGTGGACCAGTCGCGAGGACATCGGGCTCAGCCCGGCCTTATCCTCCGAGCAAGCTGTGCAGATCTTTTTCGGTGAGAAGGATACAATGGTGACGCCAGCATGCGTAAGGCAAGTGTCGCGAAGTTTCAAAGTTCGGCTAGCAGTGCACACACGACCTTTTACCCGATTGTGGGACATTGATTGCCGCCTGGGGCCCAAACGCGCCAGGATCTGGATGGCCGGGGGAATATAATATGTTCTTAAGGAATGCAGAGAGTCCCAGGAACTAGAGTTTCCACGGATGTTTCGATTCACTTCTGAAAGTGTAACATGTGCAAATGTCAGATACGGCAGCAGGTGGCTGGGCGATGTCCTGAGTGGCCCAAGCCGCGTGACACTACAAGAGTTGGCGCAGACTTCCCACACGGGTGCCTCTTGAATCAGCTTGCCGTAACTGCTTTGCGTGCACATTCTTTGCTCCCTCACACAACTGCAGACTAGATCCGAGTAAATGTTGCGTCCAGGTGCGCTGTTGCTCTTGGACGAACGTCTTTGGCAGGCTCTGTCTTGGCTGGCAACAGGCAACTCGTAGAGTTTAGTGACCTGGCCGGGCAGCCCAGAGGGCCCCAGGATGCAGCAGGTCGCACTTGTTTAGGGATGCGTCGCACAGGATCCATCCGCATGACAAAGTGCATGCAGTAGCAGTGTCACGAACGGCCAGAACAGGGCAGATAGGTGTGCAAAGTACGAACCGGGAACAGCTATCATGCTGCTGCACGCGTGGCAGATTTTGGTCGCAGACCTGCCTTGTATTGCCAGGACTATTCCACCCGCTTCTGGTCACGGGCACGGCCCGGCGACACGTCCTTTAGCGACTTGCTGCCGAAGCGCGTCGGCGTGGAGCCGGCAAGGACTTTGGTGTAATGTTGTAGCGGCATCGCTTCGAGCCTAGGCTGCTGGACTCCTGTTGACCATCTGGGACAGTCCGTGAATTCCCTTCTTGCATTTAATTTGGTACAGCCCTAGTTTTGCAAAGTACTGCAGAGGTGCCTAGTCACAGTCACATGTCGGATTAGTTTTTTCAGTCATCGTATCAATACTCCGGACTGGAGACGATTGTCGTCGTATCTGATCCGCCAGTTGGGCGCGGAAAATGCTGCTGCTGTCGGCCCCACGCCACCCGCTGGGAAGACCGAAGACGTCTTACAGGCACCATCCTGCTGTTTAGCTCTGAATGCATTCTGCAAAAAAACAGGCAAGCCGATGCAGAGTCTGTGCACATACCAAGCCAAGGGTCCAGCCGGTAAGAAAGTCATTTGGGAAGTTATTCTAGCAGACATTGTGTAAGTTCAAGTCCTGCATGAATGGGGAGCGAGGTGGAGTTGTTAGGCTGAGGGCACGCAGCAACACTGAGTAAAGAGAGAGATTCTGCCGCGCGAAACAACCTCATGTTTTCTTGCTGTCCAGAGGCAGGCATCTTTGCCCAACTACCCGCACCTCCTCCCACTCCCGAGGCCAGCCGTACATCTTGAAGGGAAGCATTTCGACTGCGGCTCTCAATTCAAGAAAGTGCTTGCTTGTGCAAGCATGTGCAAGCGTGTTCACCAACAACAAACCAATCAGCAGCTCCGTGATGATTCCGCGTGCTTGGCAGCTCCTGGCCATTCTGAATGGTACCCTGGCTTTGGCTCCACCACCTGAGCCGGAGCCTGCCGAGAAGGAGCTGCGGAGCATGCGGACAAAATTTGCTATCCCATGTTGCAATTTCTCCTAGTTTCGCCACATGCTGGGCACCAGATGGACGAACATGTGCAAAGGAGATCGGCGAGAGCAAGGGAGATGGCGACAGCACGCCAATGGTTGGCTTATCGCCCCGGCCTCAGTGGCTTCATGTCCTGGCAAGAGCTTCAACCGCTCTACAGTGCTGAAGCTACATCAAGCTAGATCCGCTGTGGGGCCTTGGGTCACTGATGCTCAGGGTCGGATCATATCAGCTGTAAATTACCCGAAGCATTATAGGTTCTGCACCACATGCAAGCAAAAGTTTGACAGGCTGGGGGAAGGTCCAAACGCCAAAAGTGTGCTTGATACTGCGGATTTCGATGCGGAGGCGCCGCAGAGGGAACGAGCTTGTCCTGTCGACCGAAAGTGACACTGAGTGCCACATCTTCCCTCCAGAGGAACGGGCCGAAAAGAGGACGCGGATCAAGGCAGAGCCGGAGGACCAGGAGGAGACCTTTCAGGGGATTCTTTGTGCCTGTTGTTTTCTTGCTCGAACTTATATTTGAAGACTTTGCTCGACAAGACCTGGAATGTGGAGATGTGTGGTCGATGCTATGATGGTCTTTTGCGACGCGACGGTCAGAGCGCAGGACCGCAAAGGAGAGGAGGAATCCAAGCCGGTCAAAACGGAGGCCGGTTCAAGACTTGCACCCCCTTAAGAATTTCAGACACAAGCTACTGCAGGAAGGCATGGAGACTGCCACGGAGGCAGCTGAGGCAGGGCATGCAGGGCGCAGCCAGATCCGGCATAAGTGGACAAGCTGCCTACTTGCTCGAACGCTTGGATTGCCAAGCGGCACAGCATAACACGGCCTACAGGAGCTGCGCCAGCCATGCGCTGGAAATCATAACATCAAACACAAGTGCGCGAAGTTAAGCAGGCGCAGGTGTCGAATAATCGTGGAGTAGAAAGTAGCCTTTTGATCCAGCACTTTGCACGGTGAGCCGATGCTTCAAAGGCGTGTAGCTTACTTAGGTCTTGGCCGAGCCTCCACCTGTGCCGGTGAAGGAGGACTGATAAGGATCGGCCTCACCGCGAATTTGCTGGCGCCCAGTTCGCCTGACAGGAGGAGCCGGACCGTGTGCCAGATGCAACATGACCTTGCGTCGCGTGCAGAAAAAGCGACATGGCATTCATTCTGAGCGCAGTCTAGAACCTTTTGCTCTGTGACTCGCAGATATCACAGCCAAGCTCGAAAATGTATACAGGCCACAAGACTGACGAAGTGCCGACGTTGCACAGGTTAACAACAGAGACTCATGCTCCTTACTCGACCAACGACTTCCGAACAGCCTCTGCACCACGACCGCTTTAACGAAATCGAGATCTGCATGGCCTTGAAGACGGAAGCGAGCCTTGGATGGATCTGCATGAAATTCGCACCCCAACTGTCTACAGGTTAGGAACTTGGGCCATGACAGCACATGCGCTCCTCAGGAGGGCTTCCTAAATTTAGCATGATCTATTGATTGCATTCCCATCAGAAACCAAACTCAAGACCCCACAAGCATTCGGTGCCACTTGCGGAGTTCGAGTTGCAGCTGTAAAGCTGGCAAGGGCATGGCGAATCCGCTTCGGAAAGTGTGGAGGCGACGCGGAGAGGTTGGACCGAAGGGGTCGTGAGGTTCAAACCGGGGGTGTACTCGATTGGTCGATAGCCGGAAGGTGGTGTCCAGGGATGCTCGTCGTTTCGGAGTTTCGCATGGTGCTACTGCCCCTGATTCTTCGTGAACCCTGAACACCAAACCGCCATAAACAGCATGAGGAATGCTTCCGACAGAACATGTTGCATGATTGTTGCTATCTGAGTGTGAGCGAAAACATGGGCCTGCGCCTGGGTTTGGGGCATGTCGTATTATCGGGAGGCGCAAACGTCAGACTAATGATTTGTCTTTGCTACATCATCATTCTCAGACATTGTTTCATCGAGCGGTGTCTGCTTCAAACACTTCCAGACTTCTACGGCTCTTGGTACCCTGACGATGCGTGATCCCGCACGGGCTAGCTGCATTGCCTCCCTAGGCGTTTTGCAAGTACTTGAGTTTGGTCTGGGGCTTGCGAAGCTTTGTGGTTGGGGTTAGGTGGTTTTCTCTGTCTTGTCGCACCGCTTTGGGTTGTCTTTAGACTTGAAGCTCTCTTTTGTGGCAGTCGTTCTGCTTGCCCTTCTCCCATTTTCATCGGGGTTCGTCGCGGCCTGGCGGTGTACTCCAAAGGGGTGTGGTGCCCCAGGCTGGCAGATTGCAGGGATTCGGCGGAGACCTGGCCAATTTGCTGAAAAAGTGCTGCCAGGGTTCTCCAGGCCTTCCAGGGCCTCCCAAGCGGCTTAGCCCAACGGTAAACCATTGTAAAGCTCAAGGATGGCCATCGTCAACGACGAGCTCTTTGGCGCGGTGGCTCCGGACAACTCAGGCCCTGAAGCTTCGAGCTTAATATGGACGGTTGTCAAAATTAGGGTCCCTTTTTTGGGTCTTTAGCAGCACGGCACTATTCAGGTTGCCCAGAATGGGGCCGTCACTTTGACAACTACCATAACGAGGCTTCAATAGTTAGCAGTTAGCAACATTCTTCCTTAGAGTTCAGGGGTTTGGGGTTTTTTTGGATTCCAAAGGGAGGCGCAAGCAATTACCAATAGTATTCCTTAAGGTTCCTTGCTGCAACTATACTATACATTAGCCCAAAACCCTATTTTAATCATTGCGGCCCTTTTGTTAGGGTTTGCTGAGGGTTGGTGGTAAATGGGTAGATCGCTAAATTATTTGAATTAGGGTACATCTTAGGGTCATATGAATTCCAGTTCAGGGTTTCAGGCTTTCAGGTTCCTCCATACGATTCCCTCCAACAGATTCAGAAGGGCTCCACGAGGTTGTATAGGGGTTAGCATGAGCTTCTATTTGGGCTGTGCTCCAACGATTGCATAGCTTCGATCTAGGGGTCTGGGGCTTTGGGTTAGGGTTTAAGGTTCTGCACGGCTTTCAGAAGGGTCCCTCATGGGTATTGTGACAGTTCTATAGGCTGTCATCTGGATGCCACAGTTCCATTATCAAGTTTCATACGGGTTGGGTCTACAGCCTCTTTTTGTGGACACTTTGAGGTGTCGGGAGTTTGGCTGGGCTCTTGATCCCTTAACAAGAACCCAGCTGGGGTGTTGGAAGAGCCTCGGGTTTTTGGGAAGCTCCAGTTTCGGGGTTTGGGGAATTGCAAAGTGGGCCACTGCGATACTCTTGCTGATTTAGCTTCTCGGGCGTAAGCGGATCTTATGGAAGAAACTGTTTAAGAGGCGCTTAGGGGCCAACCTGGAACGAGGGTTAATTAAGGATGCCGGAGGAGCTGCAGTGCTCGTGCGGTCAAGGTGTGCAGCTCCAGGATTGTAGGCTTTAGGGTGAAGGTCGGATAAAGTCCATATTTCAGAAGCATAGATATGTGGTCATACGATTTTCCTTGGGATTCCGACTATGATTCCCACAAGACATACTCGAAACCCTAGATTCTAGTGCACGAAGGCCCCTGTATTCAGGACCTAGGGTTTAGGGTTTTAGGCTTCAGCTGTAAGGTTTTCTATAGGAACCGGGCTTGGGGATTGAAGACGCGCGGTTTACTCAAAGGAGTGTGTCAGAAGGTCTTCAAGGCTTTGGCGACTTGTTTATTTGGGTTGGCTGGGATCGGTCTTGGCAGCCGTAGCAAACTCCCAGCTACTCTTGTTGGATTTGTTGGCTTCCAACAGGTATGTAAGAAGCACACGGGTTAAGCAATGCGCCACCACGGGCTCCCGCGTTCTCCACTTGGGGATGGGTCATACTTAGCCTAGCTTCCTGATTGCTGCTTTGGGATGTTCGTGCCTGTTCCGCCTCAGCTTCCCAGTAAAATCGGGGATTGACTGGCAAAGAGCTGTGGTGCATGCTTCGTTGATACCACATTCTTCTGAAGCCAAGGTGCAGGCATGGGGTAGGACTGTCCGCACTTGCACTCAGATAGTGCTGCGCAAGTGTTGCCACCTGGGCTGTGTTGTTTCTGGTGTCTAATGAGCTGGCAGAATTACTCCGAGACATGTTGGCTAGACTGTAAGACTCTGTTGGGCCACCCTGATTTACCTCGGGGCAGGTGCAGTCTGGAGGGACTGGGCGCCAGAGTATTTCACCAGCGGTTTCAGTAATTATGCTACCAGTCATCGCCTTGCGGATCGAGATGGCATCTGTTCGGACTGGGTACGGCAGGCGGAAGTTCCTAGTCTGCATGTGTCAAGCTAGCGGTTTTAGATTTAGAAAAATCCCACCCGCCCAAAGAATCCCATAACATAACATTGAGAATATACAAATCATCTTCTCAAAGCCCCGGAGCTTTTAACCTTAACTCCAGATAACCTTATAAGCCCCAAAACAAGTCAGCCCGAAGCCCTAAAGTCGAAACCCCAAGGTGGAACTTGGCGTGCGATTACCTTCTACGCATACTTCAACTTCTGCTCTGAATACAAAGCCAAGCCCTAAACCCGATTCCATTAAGCCTTAACCTGATCCTTCTAGGCCCTAAGCCTTATCAATATACTTTAGGTTGTCACCCTTTCCCCACCCCGGAACCTTATCTGACTAAAATATGATAACCCACCATTCTGATGATTTATTCCGGCACGCCCTAAACTCAAAATAAAGTTTCGGAAGAGGTTTTCGGAATTCGGAATAGAGTTGCCGAATAGAGTTCCGGAATTAGGATTCGGACGACCTGAGTGCCATTAAAGTTTAAATACATGACGTAAGAGAGTGCTTAGGGTTTGAGGGTTTGGGATTTTGAGTCTGGTCCGCCAGGCCGGGAGCTGAGCGGCCAGGGCCGGGCCCGCAAGGGCTTGTCTCCGCGGGTTTAAGTGAATTGAGGGTTGAGG